TAGCCAGGACTGTATCCTGTGCTCAGGGATGCCGACATAGCAGGCAGCAGCTTCATTGGCTGTACCACAATGCCAGACCCCCCCCCCTTTAATATTTCTTATAAAATAGAGCTGGAGGTGATGAACTTTTTCTGCTTTTAGCTGTCTGAAAAATCTTTTTCTCTTCTTAATTTCCTAAGGACAGCTATCCTCATTAATGTATTCTTGGCTGGCATTTTTTGCCTTCAGTACTATGAATATATCATCCCATTCTATCTTGGTTGCTACTACAAAACATACTGCTTGTTGTATTGAAACTTCTTTATCTGTGATGGGCTTCTCTATCCTGCTCCTTTCTTGGGCCTCTTTTTGTCTTTGGTCTTCTATAGTTCGGTTAAATATGTCTTGGGTTAGTCTTTTTTTTAAGATTTATTTATTTATTTATTTATTTAGATTTATTTATTTATTTGAAAGTCAGAGTTACCAGAGAGAGAAGCAGAGGCAGAGAGAGAGAGAGGTCTTCCATCTGCTGGTTCACTCCCCAATTGGCTGCAATGGCCAGAGCTGTGCTGATCTGAAGCCAGGAGCCAGGAGCTTCTTCCTGGTCTCCCACACTGGTACAGGGGCCCAAGGACTTGGGCCATCTTCTACTGCTTTCCCAGGCATAGCAGAGAGCTGGATTGGAAGTGGAGCAGCCAGGACTTAAACTGGTGCCTATATGGGATGTTGACACTTCAGGCTGGGGCTTTAATCCCCTACGCCAAGTGCTGGCCACTTGGGTTAGTCTTATTTGGATTGAATATGATGAGAAACTTTTGACCATCTTGGACCTTGGATGTTTACATTTTCTGTAGATTTGACAAGTTTTCTGCTATTTCTTTAACTCATACTTTAACCTTTATAAAACTTTGACTTTCTCTTCTTTGCTTGCATGACTCGAACATTTATTGTTTTGATACTGCCTCCTACATATTATAGGATTCTTCATTCCTTTTCATTCTGTTTTCTTTCTTTTCCATGAATTTCTAGGTTCAAGCAACCTGTCTTGTAGTTCAGATTCCATCTTCTGCTTGATGAGTAGGCTCTATATTACCATTTTCTTTTCATTCATTGCATTTTTCAGCTCCAGATTTTTGTTTTTAATTATTACTATTGTTTCAATCTCTATTAAATTTTGTATTCTGGGAATGTATTGTTTTCCTTACTTCAAGGAATTGTTTGTATTTTCTTGAAGTTCCTTGAGCTTCTTAAAGCTTTTTAATCCTTTTCAGGTTATTCAACCACCTCTATTTCTTTTTTTTTTTTTAAAGATTTTATTTATTTATTTGAGAGGTAGAGTTACAGACAGTGAGAGGCAGAGACAGAGACAAAGGTCTTCTATCTGTTGGTTCACTCCCCAAATGGCCGCAACGGCTGGTGCTGCACTGATCCAGACAGGAGCCAGGAGCTTCTTCCTGGTCTCTCAAATGCATACATGTGCCCAAGGACTTGGGCCATCTTCTATCGCTTTTCCAGGCCATAGCAGAGAGCTGGATTGGAAGAGGAGCAGCTGAGAATATAACCAGCACCCATATGGGATGCTGGTGCCGCAGGTGGAGGATTAACCTACTGCACCATGGCACTGGCCCCAACCACCTCCATTTTTTAGTGTTAGTCATTGGCACTTTCTTTTATCCCTTTTGTGACATCATGTTTTATTGGTTGTTTTTTGATTTTGTCCTAGTGTGTCCATGTATGTGAACTTGAAGAAGTAGGTAATTATCAATCAAAGTTTTCACAGACTGGGTTTGTCTAGGAAAATCCTTCAAAGGTCAACCTGTCCAGAGCTTTCTTGGCAAGCCATCTGAAACAACCTGAAAGCCTGGGCTCTCTGAAGTCTGTGTGAATTTTGGATACACAGGAGATTGAGTCTACATTATAGGTCTGAAACCTGCAGCTATGGGATCCCATGTCACCTGGGTGATTCTCGAGGCTTCATTTTAGGTACTGGTCTCAGTTCTGGGTGCTGTGTTTTAGTGTGGTGGATCTGATTGGAGGGTTTAAAGTGTACTCCTATGCTCTCTTCCTTCACTTTCCCCTTAGGTTATGTCCCTCCCCATCCTCTGCTGCCTGAGGTTAGGGGAGGAATGATATGGATCATCCAAAAGTGTCCTTTTTGCCATCTTTCATGAATCTTTTCTTAGTGTGCTACAACCATGTACTGTGATCTCACACTGCTTTCCTTACCTCTTGCGAAGGCATCCTTATGCACAGAATTGTTCAAGTTGACGCCCATTTCTGTGTCTTGCTTCACTAGACTAAACCACTTCCTGTAAACAATTGTAAAATTGAACAAAGTTAATGAAGCGGCTGTATTCAGGCACTACACAGCGGGAATTGCAAGAGTGCAAGCTTTAATGGCCGGGAAACTAAAGATGACGTTCATTTTCGAAACACCTAGCTGCCTGGGAATAATATTCTGACCATAGATAGTCAGCAGTGGCAGTCATGCTGAGCTTGGGAGTTGGATGTCAAAAGCTACTGGGAGCTTAAATCACTGGAAGGAACGCATTTGCACTGAGGCTTTCCTGGTGGATTTTCAATAATGGGTTGGACTGTGCCAGGAAAGGCAACATGGGACTTATCAGAGTGCAGCTACCTTAGAATTCTTGTACACTTAAAAAACTGGCCAGAATTCAGCTGAGACAACAGAAAAACCCCACCATAAAAAAGGAGGGAAAAGAAAATCTTATTCTATGTCTTTCTCAATAAAGCCTGAAGGCATGTCTTAGTCAAATAGAGAAGACAGAGTTTGAACATCAAAGTTAATCAGGTTAAAAAGGGTTGGGAGTTTAATAAGCTTTTCTGATGTGTATTAAAATGTAACCAATTTGTAGGGTTAAGAAGAAATAGGAAACGGTAACCTATAGTCATGGAAAAAGAAGTCAGCAGAAACTGGTCCTTTGTGTGACCCATTTTTAAATAAAGACTTCAGAATAGCTTTTATAAACATGTTGCATGAATAAGAGAGAAAGGCATTTTAAAGGAATTAATACATTAAAGTCTCAGGGTTACAGCAAATGAATGATAGCTATTACAACATGATTCTCATCAATCTTGTTAATGTGATAGTAATACAAAAGAGAACAGGCAGATTCAATGTATTTAATAAATACAGTTCTAAGGATGTGATGATACTTCTCTTCCTCCTGTCCTCCCTCCTCCTCCCTTTCTTTTTTTCTTTCCTTTTTTTGAGTTTTTGAGGTAACACATTTTTAATTTACATTGTAGTCACAGGCTTAATGTTCCACTAAACACAGAGTTTAACAAGTAAAAAGTAAGAAGTAAAAAAGAATGAAGACAGAGAGAGTATCAACAAAGTATAAAAAATGTCCAAATAATTCTGGAAAGAAAACTACAATATTAAATTAAAAATTTATGAGTAGAATCAGCAGATTGGAGATTTTAGAAAAAATAAACTGAATTTAATATATAAAAGTAAATTAGGCTAATGAAAATCATGATCTGAAGAATCAGCAGGTTTCTGAATCTATATATATGAAATACATGAAATTTTTTTAATAACAAAAAATTGATCTCGAGACTTCCCTTAAAATCATGATCACTGTGGAAATGATACAGTGAATCAATGATACAATGAATCAATGAAGCAGAGTAGATTCTCCAGAAATATTCCCATATATATGAGGTTGGTGGGTTCTTGAAAGTGTGCTCAGATATAAAAATCAATGGACCAGGAGGAAGCACCTGGCTTCTGGCTTCAGATCAGTGCAGCATGCCAGCCATAGCAGCCATTTGGGGGGTGAACCAATGGAAGGAAGATCTTTCTCTCTGTCTCTCTCTCTGTCTAACTCTGCCTGTCCAAAAAAAAAAAAAAAAATCAATGGAGAGGTACTTTTTTTTCAACTAATATTTTGAATAAACTTGTCATCTGTGTTTAAAAAGTAAAGAGCTTCAACCCATTCTTCAAACCACACACAAAAGAGTAATCTAAATGGATGACAGACCTAAATATAAGTAACAAGACTAAAAGAATTCTTGAAAAAATACAGGGAAACTGTAGCCCCAAAAATTACTAACAACAGAGGAAAAAAAAACCTATTGAGTATTCTTTATAAAAATTAAAAGCTTCTTTTCAAAAGATACCATTAAGAAATTGAAAAGCTACAAAAATAGGGGAAAATATTCACAATGCTCAGATCTTCAAGAAAATATTACTTTTTAGAACATATTACAAAAGAATTCATCTAATGTAATAAACACAAAAAGCTGTCCAAATAAAAAAAATTAACCTGAAATTTCAGTAGACAAAAGAAGATACATGAATGGCCATTAAGCCCTGGAAAAGAGACTCAGTATAATTGGCCTTCAGGGAAATGCAAATTACGACCACAAAAAGAAACCTAAATAGACCCCATAGAACTTTAAATTTTTTTGTTTTTAATTTTTTTTTTGGACAGGCAGAGTGGACAGTGAGAGAGAGAGAGACAGAGAGAAAGGTCTTCCTTTGCCGTTGGTTCACTCTCCAATGGCCGCCGCGGCCGGCGCGCTGTGGCCGGCGCACCGCGCTGATCCGATGGCAGGAGCCAGGAGCCAGGTGCTTCTCCTGGTCTCCCATGGGGTACAGGGCCCAAGCACCTGGGCCATCCTCCACTGCACTCCCTGGCCATAGCAGAGAGCTGGCCTGGAAGAGGGGCAACCGGGACAGAATCTGGCGCCCCGACCGGGACTAGAACCCGGTGTGCCGGCGCCGCAAGGCGGAGGATTAGCCTAGTGAGCGCGGCGCCGGCTCCATTATTTTTTTAAAATGACAATAGCCAGTGTTGTTGTGGATTTGGAACAGTGACAATTCTCATATATTTTTGGTGAGTGTACCAAGGGTACATCTACTTTGAAAAGTTAGGCAGTTTCTAATAAAATGTAGCATACACATATTCATTACCTAATAGTTTCACTGTAGATAGTTATCTAAGTAAAAATGAAATAAAAGCATACATCCCTCTCCCGAATTTGTTTTGCAGAAATTTTAATTCCAGCTGTCAAATAGTAGGATCGAACTAAATGTCCGTCAGCAGGTAAGTGTATTGTTTGTTCAGGTCCTCTGGGAAGCAGATGCCAACATCAGCCTTGCAAGAATGTGTTGGGGGAAACTGTATTCCAGCAAAGGAGCTGGACTATGACAGAAAACCCTGAGGAACGTGATGCAGTTCCCTTATACACATGTGGTATATTGTTTCCATTTTAACTTCATGTTACATTAGCACCACTCTCCACAAAATTCAAAATATTATTTCAATATCCACACAACTTATTTATGCAAATTTATGTACCCAATATATTCCAAAACTCAAAAAGATGTATTTTCTACCATGAATTTAAAATTATTGTACATTTAGATTTTCTCCACATTTTGATATTATAAAGTTATAATGCTCCATTGTGCTTAAATATGTGTATTTTTATTATTTTCTTAGGGCCAAGCTAGATGTGTAAGTCCAGACTTGAGCATTTTTAAGGCTTTTGACATATATTTTTAAATTGCACTTTAGGAATGGTCTTATTCCTTAACTTAGATGAATCACAATATTTTAAAAATCTTTGCAAATTTATTAAGGCCAAGAATATTAAACATAGACATATTTCAATTAATTTAAACTCCTTTAATTTTCAGTAGAAAAGTTATTTCAAGTGCTCATTGACTGTATTTTCTTTTGCATGAATTATCTATTTCAACTTTTTGCCATTGGACTGCTTGTTCTCTCTTGGGGTCTTAGGATCTTAATGCTTTTCTAATTAATTGAATGAAATTTTATATAATGTATTATGATGTTTTATATGCTGCATTGTAGGACATTTTAAAGCTGTATTTTTGTAGTTCAATGCCCTTTGGGCATGAAAACAAACATCCATTAATTTCTTAACTCATCACTTAGTCATTACTAGCAATTACTGTTTTTACAACAATTTACTTATACTTTTACCCAGATGTTTGCTTGCCATTATTTCACATCTTCATGGGGTTTTTATTATGCAGATTTCTAAAATTATGGTTGCCACTTGGAATCCATTGACACTTTGAATTTTATTTACTAAAAAGTACACTTTATTTTTCATTTCACATTATTTTTGTCTCAAAGTCCCACACTCCTTATCCATCTCTTTAATGTTCCTCCAAATTGTTTTGTCCTCTCTTGTCTCTCTATGTTAATTCAATCCCCCATTAATTTTTATCTGAACCCTAGCTATCATAACAATTCTGCTTCCAATCTGTTCTTGGTCATACCACTTTATTTCTCACTGTTTGGATTAATAGTAATGCTCACCTTAAGTAATGACAGAAGATGGCAGAGTGCCTTTTATTGGGTTTCTTTGAGACTGAGGGTGCAGGTATTGCTTTGCAATCCAGGTGACAATCTATGGTAATCAGAAGAGAAAGAAATGCTGTTCCCATTTCTACAAGGAATTTCTTATAATTTGGTCAACTCAAAGATTTTGAGATTTGTAGCTTTAGGAAGAACCAGCAGACAGCATAAATATGGACTTGCGTTCCCCAGGAATATGCTAACAGTCAGGTACTGTTCTCAAGTGGATTTTTACATAGTGGACATTTAGTCACTTCCTTACCCATTCCGTGCCAGGCCCCCATTCCATGAAAATGTCTTCTAATTATTGCCAGACAATGACTTGTAGTCATCAAAACCTTCAATTATAAGTCTCCTTATGATGATATTGATAGTAATTAAAATAAAGTCCGAAAGACAATGTCAGAATTTTTAGAAATGAATTTATTAATGAAGATATTAATGTAAGAAAAACAAGCTTTGTCTAAGAAGCAGAATAGATGAAATACATATAGATTTGTTTAACACAAAGTATGTTTAAATAAGATACAATGCAAAGGGCTGTTTCTTCTATAAAGCAAGTAGAATGGAAATTGAAGAAGCCAGGTGTGGCCTTGGGAGAGAGTATTAGAGAAGAGTTTCAGCACGGAGTTTTCTGAAGCCTCTGTGTGGAACAGATGAGGAATTAAGAGGAGGGAACATTTAGAGTAAGTTTCATGTATAATTCCAAATCTGTATACCTAAGAAGCTTTGAGGCATAAGTTAACATTTCTCAAGTGAGCCCAATGTAGCTACAGTAAGGTACATAAATCTTGATGCTGCTGTAGTCACACTTAGCACTGTTTTCTGAAGGAAACAATGGACCTGAAAACGAGGAATGTTCATGCCAATGGTATACTGGCTTGGTCGATCTTCGGTCTGAAGACTGTAGATGGATACTGCTTGTAGTGTGGCCTGCGTATTGATAAAGACCACCACCCTAGCAGGCGCCGCGGCTCACTAGGCTAATCCTCCGCCTTGCGGCGCTGGCACACCAGGTTCTAGTCCCGGTCGGGGCGCCCGATTCTGTCCCGGTTGCCCCTCTTCCAGGCCAGCCCTCTGCTGTGGCCAGGGAGTGCAGTGGAGGATGGCCCAAGTGCTTGGGCCCTGCACCCGCATGGGAGACCAGAAGTACCTGGCTCCTGCCATCGGATCAGCGCGGTGAGCCGGCCACAGCGCGCTGGCCGCGGCAGCCATTGGAGGGTGAATCAACGGCAAAGGAAGACCTTTCTCTCTGTCTCTCTCTCTCACTGTCCACTCTGCCTGTCAAAAAACAAACAAACAAACAAACAAACAAAAAAAGACCACCACCCTCGTCACACATCTGCAGACGAGTCGTGTATCTGGGCAGAAGCATGTTGCCTTTTTATGGTAAATCAACATTGTCGTGTTGTCCAAGGGTGTGTTCAGTGGGCATCTCCTTTTGAAAATTCTAGAACAGTTCAGTCATGGAGTTCCAGATGCAAGTCTCCATACAAAGCACAAACTGTAGAGCACAACGCTTTGAGAGGCGGTACTGGGACATGAGCTGCGTTTAGAAGAGCCCATCATTTCTAATGCAAAAGGTTTAAGAGCTTGAGAAAAGGCAAACATTTATTGTTATAACTCAATAATTTTCATCATTTTGAACTTTTTATTAATCATGTTTTTGCTAAATATGTTATTTGCAGCTACTACCTAAAGTTTGAATTATTTATTTATTTATTTATTTGATGGGTAGAGTTACAGATAGAGAGAAGCTGAGGCAGAGAGAAAGAGAGAGAGATCTTCCATCTGCTGGTTCACTCCCCAGATGGCCACAACAGCTGGAGCTGCACCAATCCAAAGCCAGGATCCAGCAGCTTCCTCTGGGTCTCCCACACTGGTGCAGGGGCCCAAGGACTTGGGCCATCTTCTACTGCTTTCTCAGGCAATAGCAAAGAGCTGGATCAGAAGCGGAGCAGCTGGGACTCAAACCAGAGCCCATACGGGATGCTGGCATTACAGGCAGAGGATTAGCTCACTGCACCACAGTGCTGGCCCCTGAATTAATGATTTCATTTATTATTTATTTATTTATTTATTTATTGACAAGCAGAGTTAGACAGTGAGAGAGAGAGAGATGCAGAGAAATGTCTTCCTCCTGTTGGTTCACCCCCAAATGACCTCTACAGTCGGCACACTGCGGCCCACGTGCTGTGCCGATCCGAAGCCAGGAGCCAGGTGCTTCTCCTGGTCTCCCATGCAGGTGCAGGGCCCAAGCACTTGGGCCATCCTCCACTGCCTTTCCGGGCCACAGCAGAGAGCTGGACTGGAAGAGGAGCAACCAGGGCAGAATCCAGAGCCCCGACCGGGAGTAGAATCCGGGGTGCCGGCACCGCAGGCGGAGGATTACTGATGTCTAAACAGCTTTTATATTTGGCAGAAACAAGCTTCACCAGACTCTTTATCAGACAAATGCTCCTTTTCCTATCTCTACAACAACAGCAATGCAGATGGTAAAAATGGAAGTGATGCTAAAGAAATGAAAACAAACCAGTTCATACAAGGTGTGTTAATCTGGTTTTGCAAAATAGTTGATGAAGTGGGGAAAGCACAGTGTTTTACTTGCAGAGATATACTGGCTAATGAAGCACTGAAACCATCAAAAGCCCATGTATAGAAGCTGGTGCTGTGGTGTAGCGGGTAAAGCCGCCGCCTGCAGTGCCAGCATGCCAATGAGGCACTGGTTCAAGTCCCGGCTGCTCCACTTCCAATCTGGCTCTCTGCTATGGCCTGGGAAAGCAGTACAAGATGGCCTCAGGTACTTGGGCCCCTGTACCTGCGTGGGAGACCCCAGGGAGGCTCTTGGTTCCTGGCTTCAGATCAGCACAGCTCCAGCGGTTGCAACCATTTGGGGAGTGAACCAGAGGATGGAAGACCTCTCTCTCTCTGACTCTCCTCTCTCTGTGTAACTCTGACTTTCAAATAGATAAGTAAATCTTTTTTAAAAAAGCCTATGTATAGAATCTCCATCCATACCATTACAAAACACATCCAAGGAAAATAATAATTTGGAAGACAGTGTACTGAATTGTACAGTCAGCAGAAGATATTGAGTGTTTTACATGTGAATGTTAATCATCAAAAGGTTTTAATAATTTTCTATTTTTATTTTTATTTATGTGTGTTTTGATTATATTTTTGAAACATCATTCTCTTGAATTTAATAACTAAGACTTCCGTATTATATTTTATTTTTATATTAGTTCATTTTTGTTACATGTTACAGATATTATGGTCTGCAAGAACAAGAAACAAATATTTTCCATAGATAGCTTAAAGTGAGCAGCCTGTAATTTTGCTTAGGGTTTCTCAGATTTCATGCACATGGAACAATCTGGTGAATCTTGCTAAAATCCACATTCTGGTTGATTGATTTATAAGACCTCTGATCATGAGTTTCTGAAACATTGCCAGATGAGGCTGATGCTGCAAGCCCACGTTTCATGCTTTGACTATCAGGCGACTGTTATTATATTGCTCTCCTGCTTTGCTAACACTGAAGATATCAGTATGTCCACAAAAAGTGTAACAGGAATCTAATACATGTGGCAGCTGATTTAAATGTGGATGTCTTAATTTGACTTGATGTGGGAATGTTACCAGGAGGTACTGTAATGGGAGTAGGTTTCTGTGCAGAAACTCAAAAGGAAATGCTCTTGCACTCTTTCACT